AGACGCTCTCCTAATGCACAAGCGTTCATTCATACGCTGTAGATTATCAAAGGATTATCAGCACTAAATATAGAGCGTCTGCAGGATATGCAATATAATACATTCATATTCTGACGGAGCGTTTCACGTTTTCCTCAGCAGATCAGTGGTTCATGCATATTCAAACACTGCATTTGAAAATATATGATGATGATCGGTTCTGCATTATATAATGTAACATTAGTCTTTCTCATGCAGTCATAAAGACTTAATCATTTCATTGTTACTTCTATTGTCTTTGAAATATGGTTAAAGTACCGCATTGCACTGACAGGCTTTTATAATGAACTAACATATACTTTAATGTCATTTCTCTTGGTAATATTGGTAAGTCATAATATTATTATTATCTTCAGTGAAAGTTCTACTTTCATATTATACCTAATTTAACTTATGTTTATGGTGAAATTAAGTTGTAAAAAGCCCCCCAAAAATATATATTGATCTTTATTAAGTAACATTTTGGCTTATGTCTTAAATCTAAATACTCTGATTAAGTATGAAATGCTCTTTATAATAAACCATCCTTTTACTTTGCTTGAATGTTTTTTGTCTTTGGGAAAATATGTATTTTTGGTTCATAAATAGAATTTGGGAAATTATCAATTTGGCCGTAACAAGAGTATGAGAGTGTTTTTTAAGTTGGTCTAAAGTATCGTGTCTGGCGTGAGAGAGACACATTACCAAAGCTATTACACTGAGAGAAAACACTGCTATCAAATGCTTGACACTGGATAATGAATCCACAATCATCTGGAGCAACCAGGCTGAGCTGAATATTAATACTCAGATTGATGGAGTCATGTCAAGCGCTCAGATCAGTGTCCTCTGCTGTGATTCTGCTAACTCCTCTGCTTGATAAAACTGCATTTGTGGGTTTTGTGCTCTAGTCATTAGACGAGCTTCTGCATGTATGTTCTGCAAACGGACATCCAGAGCCTCATACAGCTTGTGAGCAGTGATGATTGGCTGCTGTCCATCTTGAGGGCGGGGTCTGGAGAGTAAGGCTCCGCCTCCCCTGCCCCGCCCCCACAAAGGCATCACTAGCAAGTAGCTTGCGCTGTCACCAGAGATTACGGCCTATTAGTCCAGAAAACAGATGGACGGGAGTAACCCTTGCTTTCCATTGGCTGTTCAGAGTCTGTCCACCTTTCCCTCCTCACATGTGCTGACTTCCTGAAGATATTTCCTCTCATGTAGGTCACGTCTCCTGCACTGTTGCCCTAAACTACTAACTCTATCTGATTTAACCCAGTTGGTAATCAGTGATGGCAAATCATATTTTTTTCTTGAATAAATGCAGTTCATTTAGTGTTACTTTTTGTAAAAAAGTGACTTGCAGATGTTTCTATAAAGAGATATTTCTACCTTTTTTGGTATAAATTCACATATTTAGGAGGGTCAGTGATGTTAAATAATAAGCAGTTCATTTAGATGTTCCCGTTCTTTATAGTGTGAGGATGAACACGATCTGCACTGAACACAGTGTAACTGTGCAATTAATAATTAGGTAACACTTTACAATAAGGTTTCATTATTTACAATACTTCTACAGCATTTATGAATCTCAGTTAATGTTAATTGCAACATTTACTAATACATTATTAAAATAAAAATTCATATGTTACCTTTTTAATGTGAACAGCATGAACAAACACTTCACAATTGCATTTTCTTATTTAACATTAACAAATATTATGAACAAATGCTGTAAAAACATATTGCTCACTACTAGTTAACTAACAAGATATTACCGTACGCTGACAGAAATAATAATAATTACTCAATCCACCTAAATGCACTAATTTATACCAACAAAAGTAATTTTATGGGTTAGAAACAGGTCGCCACTTTATACAGTCTGCAAAGAGCCAGAAAGAATCAAAATGAGGTTATTTTAGTGACCACACACACACAAACACACACACACACACACAAACACACACACACACGCCC